GAACCAGATTTCAATTTAAAAGCAAGTGTCAGGCGAACCAGTGAGCTGTATATAAATAGCTCTTTGAGTGAGTTTAGTTCAAGTTATATTTTCGTTGACTATTGTTACATGGAAATAGAACATCAAGTCATTTTTATAATTGAGAATTTACACAATGATGTATTTTGAGAACTGAAGATCACTGTTTATAGAATTATATAAAAATAAAAAGAATTGTGTTGAAAAGTGTCTTGTTTTGTTTTCCAGCTTTCTGCTGGTTCTTTTCAACTTACCATAAACATTCACTATGTATGGAAATTTGAGGAAAGCACGACTTGATTCACAGGTTAGAATGTTAGCAAAGTATGCTTTTATTATTTTTCTTTATATAATTACACTATATATCATCATCATCATCATCACTTAGATGTATTCATTCAATAAGTAAGTCTCCTCTTTCATTCCTCTCTCCGCAGCCAAATTTTCCTGTGGCACGCTCTTGTTCGTCTGACTTTATCCCGATCTTGGCGTTGAAATCACCCATGACTATGTGGTAGTGGCAGTCTGTTGTCAACTGACGTTGTACTTCTTCATACAATTGTTCTACTTCTTCATCTGATCTGCTTGATGTTGGTGCATATACCTGAATGAGTTTCATTGAGAATCTCTGATTCATTTTGAGCTTGACTGTAGCCACCCTTGCGCTAATTTGCTTTACCTCGATGATGTTCTTGCTTAGCGCCTTGTGTATCAGAAATCCAACTCCTTGTTGGCCATTTGAAGCATTTGTATGGTACAATATATGTCCGCTATATATATACTGAACAAAAATATAAACGCACGAAAGAATATGTAGATTTATTTTCATATATGGAACTAGAGTATATAGCCAATGGAATGTTTAAGTTTCAAATGTATGTCAAGTTAAATTTATCATTTAATTCTAAAACGCGTATTTCCTGTGGATGTGATTATTAGAATAGATAAATGTGTAGTAGGCTTGTCAGTAACAATTTACTGACTGCCTTGTCTGGAGCACTGCTGCATTACGTAATGTGTGGTGAATTTTTGGGTAGTAGGCCTACTCTTTGGGCTGGTCAAAGTATGACTATGGGAGAGCATGGATCAGTCACAAAAGTCTCAATATTTTGGCAACGCCTGCACTGAAGGTATCGAAATTTTGCATACAAGTAGCACGGATGTTACAACATTGTTGCTCTGCGCCAGAATGGCCCAAAACAGACAAACAAACAAAGGTATGCCCAGACTGGTGTTCCTACACAGAGACCACACCCAAGGCATCCAGAACTTACTACCCAGAAACAGGATTTAAATCCTCTCTTACCATCTATAAGTAGGAAAAGTACAAAAAAATTAAAGAAAAACGATTCGGTAAAATATTCCATATTAAATGCCAAGTCTGTGTAAAACGCCATTTTTGCATCCTCAGACAATCTAAATGAAAAACATTTATAGCAATCGGGACGTTAGACGCGTGTTCAATCAGAAAAAAATTAATTTATAAAAGTTGTAGGCCAACAGTGTCTCTACCAGGGCCGCAGATAATTTTACGTGCACATTTCTCCAACAGCAGAGAATCGAGTCCTTAGTTAGCCAGAGACATCCCATTAGGTAATGAAAAATTCATCTGTGACCCTGGTAGAACAATCCATATGAAAATAGCATTGAAATATGTAATAAAGATGCAGGTACACAATAAGATAACTGATAAAAACTTCATGAAAGATGTTATCTATATGATCAGTAGTTCTTAAGACTGTCAGGTAGCTGCTTTACGGATTCCAGTACCATGAACAAGGTCTTCCTTCGTTTGTGTAGCTGTTTCTGTTCAAAAAAGGGCCTAGCAATTCTTTCAATCGGCGGACTGTTTTTCCTGTTGGCCTCGTTCATAGTAGACACGAAACACTCCAGTTTAGTAACACAAAGCGGACAATATGGCACAGGTATCTGTCAACAGAAATATATCTACAATTACGTCCTGGAAGGTATTACCAGTGACGGCAATGGCACGCGTCTGTTAAAAGCACCCATCGGTACTTGCTACATGAAAAGCTTCCCTTCTTGGTTGTTAAGGGAGAAATTTGATGATGAACTCCACGTAAACGCCTCATTTATGTCAGTGGCTTTGGCAGATGAGATGAAAAGGTGTGGCAATGAAGAAAGTGGATATTTAGATATTATTTTACGCGCAATAGTGAGAAACTACACGGCGAGCGGAAAGCTTCAAATGAATTACTTGTTGAAGCTGACAGTGAATTGCAGCTACGATCCAGTGGAAAGCGGTCATTTCCTGGGGATACCAGCCGTTATGTACGAACGACATGGCGGACCAGAGGATGCCAGGTTGTTTGTTGTGGATGGAAGCAATGTCATTGTTTATTCAAGAATAGTCGAAGGGTTTCTCTCCAGAGTGTATTTGTACAATATTGACACCGATGAGGGTCCGAAGCGAATACAAGTCAATGACATGGCCCTTCAAGGGTGGGAAAAGAACTGGGTACCGCTTCAGTCCACAGCTTCTTTTTCACCCTATAGTCAAAGCTCCTACACAGCCAAAGACAAGACATTTTTTCTAGTTTATTCACTTTCTCCCTTCATTATGTTAAAATGCGACTACGCCTCCGCCGTATGCTCCCAGCATAATCCTGTATCCGGATCAGATTTGAATAAAAACTCTGACACGACTTTACCTGGGGACTCTATCAATCCACTCAACCCGGCTCCTTCAAAACAAAGACGAGGGTCGTCATTTCTCCGGAACGGCACACCTTTTGTTCATTACAGGGACGACCTCCATATAGCACTGATTCACCGACGCTTTCGCAAAGTTTACCACGTTTACCTTGCGGTTCTAAGCTCCAGAACACTTAGTATTATATACATCAGCGAGCCTGTGCGATTTCACGCAGACCTTTATTGCAACACCATTCAGCCGAATTTTCTTTTCCCATTTGTGTATCCAACTTCACTGATATTGAAAAATCCGGATACGTTACATATTGGAGCACACGTAAATGACAGAGAAGCCATCATGTTGAGAATGACCGGAGTTCAAAGCTTAATGAACTCTCTCTTGGAGAAAGACCACCACACCGGGCTATCAGACACTGATATAAAACTGTACGTGGAGGCCCACGACTTGGCGAAAAGAAGGCGATCATGTGCAAATAACTTTAGTTGGTAGCAAAGTTATTACGATATTAACATTGTTTGCTGAATTCCACATCAGTGGACTGAAAAAAAAGCATCAGAAGGCATCACTTATAAAGCTTTTTACGATCCCTGAGAAAAATGTACCATTCATGTTTGCACATCTGCACGAAATACAGGAAATATGTTAAGTTAAATTCATATTCTAAAAGCCAGTGCCATACGCTCATGCAAATGACAAAACTAGGTAGATGCACCGATAGTTAGGGTTAAGGAAAAATGAGTAGCAATACGCTACCCCATGTAACCAAAAATTAACGTCATTTTTAATGCATATTTTACTGTCTTATGCATATTTTCCTTCATTTAAGAAAAGGGTAATACACTTTTTACTGAACAAAAAGCTGAGTGAGCAGGCGCATAAACAAGACTTAGAAGGTACTTCTTGGTGTTTGTTGCATTATTCTTATGGTTGTTATTGATAGCAGAAATACGGCTAAAATACTGACTTGATAATGTTTCTTATTAGGTATTTTGTTGGCTTTAACCAGGTTGTGAAGAAAAAGGAGCCTGAAATCTTTGTGGTATTTTTTGTGGTTGAAAACTTGAATAAGTGATAGATATAAAGCATTATAAAATTAGCGAGAACATCAAGAAAATCTATTAGGTGTATCGCTGTCAAGCATGTAAATCTTATTTTAAAGATGTGTTAAGGGTCATCTGACATTTGTAATCTGTCTATGATTTAACAATTTAAAAGCAAGTGTCAGGCGAACCAATGAGTTGTATATACAGGTACCAGTAGGTCTTTGAGTGAGCTTAGTTCAAGTGACATTTTCATTGACTTATGTTACATGTACACAGGGCATCAAGTCTGGAAAGTGCATACAACTACTATATAGTAATTTTTATTTCGCAACGTTTGTATCAGATAAATGTGGTGGAAATGTAGCCTACAGATGTGTTAAGAAATACAATGGTGTATAATGGGGGGGGTCGGTATAAGAGAAGCAGCAGCTATCAAGTATAACTAGGATAGAGTGCCCTTTCATCTGGTAGTAAAGATTACTTTAAATTGTTGCATTGTAATTTATATTTTGTTGACTTGTCAAACATAAAACTAAGAATAAAATGAAATCTCATATCCCAACATATACATTGTGCAGTTCAAGACAGAAAATTTTATATTTCAATATTTGACAAAAGGAAATTGTGCTTATACCGGTATATTGTAGAGTTTTACTCAATTACCTTGAATGTGCATACATGATAGCCTTTCCACAATCAGTTTTTTATACTCCGTTGCTTAATGCCTGATAATTAAATCTGCATGTAATGAATTAGATGTATTTGATAAGCTTTTGGAAATACAAAAACACCTCATTACGCAGTATGAATTTCAGTGTCTAGCCTTGAAAGCTGTGTTATTCTTAAAACAAAGTTATTCACAAAACAATCATTATATTTACACGGACGATATTCAAACTCCAAAGTAATGAAAATTAATACTTACGAACTAAACTAAAGAAAGGGCAGGTCAGTCGAGCATTGGATTAGACGTTTAAAATGTAAGATAGTTCATAAGAAACACATGATATTCCGTAGTCTACACAAATGTCTACAAAAGAAAGAAAAAAGGGAAAAAAAAGAGATTCAAAATTGCAACGCTAAATACTGAAGGTTTAGGATTTATACATGTACATGTATATAAAGGAGAATGGTGAATATGCAACGATAATTTTTTCATCCCGTCAACCAAGTCAACAACTTTAAAAGTGTAGGTTCTTCTTACTTTAAATTCCAAATGTACAATGCGAAATATCTGAAGAAACGTCTTTATCTATTGATAAGCTATATACATTTAGATCAAGCAAAGATATGAGAGCAAACACGCAAATATCATAACAACGATACTGTTTGACAAAACCGATGCTACGCTGATACATGGATAAAATTCGCCTTCGATAGTTAAATCTTCACAGTCGCCATTGTGAGTACAGTTTCCCTTTTCAATTATCAGCGGTCGTTCTTCTATGGACATGTTATAATACGGCGAATCAGTGAAGTTGTAGCAGCAGACAAAATCCGTGCCATCTGCGCTAGGCGTGGGCGGGGCGGCAGTGCTGTTGATAACAGGTTCTGAGGCGTTATAAGCCAGGAAGTGGACCTTCCACTGACCCTTACAGCTGCTGGATATGGTGTCATAGGTGGCCCTGTCAACGCCAGTACCTGTCAGGTTCACCGCAACTGGATTATCTAGAAAAAATATAATTATGACTCTTATCTCCGCCAAGGTCTCCTTGGTTTGTATGTGTCAGCAACATTATGCAAAAAGAACGGATTTTGATGAAATTTTCAGGAACTCTCGTCAAGAAACAAATGACGAGATTTGGTGGTGATTACTATTTATACATGAACTTATTAATATCAGGAAAATGGGGGCATTACACAGGCTTCGTTTCCGTATACACGTTTTTATTCTCTGTCCGTCTGTACCGCAAGCTCCAATACCTCCGTCCTCTGGCTTCTCGATCGAAGTTATGCATCCGAAAATTTAAATTTAACTAAACTAAGGCCACTTTGTTCCATGATATTTTTTGTTTATGTATGTATTAATTTATTATTTTCATTTTTTTTTGCGAAATAGGCCCTACAACCTACCGTTTGACTGTCCACCGGGTATGATCCCTACCGCAGCCAGTATACCAATAATGATGGCAGCCAGTAACAGTAGCAATAACAACGCTAGCAATATCCACAGACAACATCGTCTTCTGCGTTTCTTCTTCTCCTCTTCGCTCAATCCCTCCCCGGTGGCTCCTCCGCCTCCCACCGCCGCTGCTGTGGTGGCGCCACTGGTGCTCGTTACAGTGATCGTCTGCCAAAAAATAAATAAATAAATAAATAAATAAATAAATAAAAAATAAAAGGATGAATGAATGAAAAAACGATAAATAAATAATCAAATAATTTTAAAAAAAATCACAACATTGACTTTTATTTAGCACAGACTGGCTCATTTAAATTCATCAGAAGTAACTAAAAACAATAAAAGTATTTCAACATCACAATATCCCATGACATGTCTATTTCATCCCAGACTGACACAAACCTTCGAGTGTCCCATTCATACTATGAAGACAGGCAACACAAAATATTGGTTGTTCGAGATTTGGTCAAACAAGGCCCCCTTTTTTTTTACATAAAGCCACTAATGAATTGTCCCGATTACTTAAACAATAAAACAAATTGTTGCCTGTATCCTTTTCGGTCACTACTACATTTATAGACGCTGACAAGACATTAGTTCACAAACGACAGCAAAGGTCTGTACTCTCTCCCTTTCTTATCAGGCTAAAGGCGAATGTGAAAATCATCCTTAGTGGTCCTAGCACAGTTTTAACTCGGAAATATACAGGTTTTATTTTCAAACCCACCTGTAACATCTAGGCTAAAAGTAGTTGGAATAATGGAACGTATCGGCGGCTAATTTCAAACGCTGGAGATGGGCGATACAAAGTAAATTAGATCTGAGATGTGAACACCTTTCCATCGTTCTTACCATCTCTAGCAAAATGCTCACCTTTACCGCAGATGAAGGCGTTGAAAGTAATCAAACCTTTAATACTCTTTTTGACGGCTCGCTCTTTTTCCTATAATAATCGAGTAAAAGTACTTACGGTTACTTTCGAAGATCTAGATCTGCTGAAAAAGCTGAAGATCGACTTTCCTTTCCCTTTCTTCCCATCTTTGCTCTTATTTCCTTTATTTTTTCCACCTTTATTCCATCCTTCTTTTTTCCCTTTTGAGCCGCTTGAAGTTGTAGCCTGTTTAGATTTGGTTTGAGCGTCTGAATTTCTTTTCTTTAAGTCATCTTGGGGGATGTTTCTATCGCCCTTGAAGCGATTGCGTTCTGGCTGATTGTAGTAACTGTTCGGTTTGCCCAAGGCTCCGCTTGCGATAGGCATTTGGCTGGCTTGTTAGACTACATATTGAAATGAGATTGTTAAAAGACACCGTACACTGTGTGTGTGTGTGTGTGTGTGTGTGTGAGAGAGAGAGAGAGAGAGAGAGAGAGAGAGAGAGAGAGAGAGAGAGAGAGAGAACTAACTAATATATTGACAACTTATTGGTCATAACAGTCAACTATAAAATTTGTTTAAAACTTCTTTCAAACACAAATTATAAAATTTTAAAGAAAAAATACTCACCAAATATCGTAGAAGAGTACCTAATGTTTGGAGGGCATCTGATATTTGTGGTGTTTATTCGAAATCACATAGAAACTTTCCAACAAAAATCACTGAAATCGCGGATTAATCAGAAAATCAACATAAGCTTCCAATAGGGCTATAGACTAAGCCGTCAATTGTTTACGTATTAATCAACTCAATATAGCGTACACAAAACTGAGCTTTTATTCCCGAAACAAATATATCTTAACTAGAGTTTATAGGAAGCAGGTTTGTTTCTATGCAAATCAACTCAGATGTCATAAAACGATATCCGAGTGCAAACTTTAACCTTGTTCTTGTTTAGGTGGTATAAAGGGAACGTCGGGGTCAGGCATTGAAATGGTGGAAATAAGGATTTGACCATTATCGACAATTTCAACTTTGTCAACAAAAATGAGTTTAATCAACTGGTGACAACTCGCAAAATAACGTAACCCAACTGATCGAAAATACGTCAATGCAGTCACGTTGTATATTCAATTTAATCCAATTTATTTTTATAAATATATAAATCAATTTCTTAGAGGGCTTGAATCCACCGCTTTACCATTCCTTTAAGGCGAATATATCAGTCTAACAATTATTGTTGAGAGATCTTTACTAAATGAATAGGGTTGCAAATAAAAAGAAATGAAAACTTCTGTGAAAATAAACCATTTGCCTCTCATAATTAAAAGTTGCGAATATAAAAGTTTTTGTGAATATGTGAAATTTTAAGAAACAGTTTAAAGCAACTTAGCTAAACCAGGAAACGAAATAAGAATGATAGTTTTTACGATAATTCAAGAGATTTTAGCGTTTATTACAAAATATATGTCAAACAAATTAACTTAATGCAGTGAACACACAGTCAGAATAAAAAATTCCTCAGATCCTACACAGGGCTACAGGGCCACAAAAACTCATATAATTGGTCAGAAGTCGTCTGCGTCGATAGATAGATTTTTGTGAAATCAAAGAATATACGTATTACACGCACAAAACAATCTTCTTCACACTATAACAAAAATGAATTGACAAATAATAAAACATCAAAATCAGTTTTGTATTTTTGAACCAGTTAATAAAATTGGTTAAATATTGGTAAAATGGCCGTCTTATTACAAAGGCCCCACTGCCCTGAATAACCGCCGGGATGACATTGAGAATATTATTGAAAGACATGTGTTCTGTATACTTATAAAAGTCTGCCGTTGTTCAAAACTCCAAATTCTAGTGACCAACTCCTCTTTGTTGCTTGGTTTCGCGTTTTCGAAGATAGCGCTTGAGCTCCGCCCGCTGTTTCTTTTATAATTCCGATCTCAGATCTCGGGTGGGGGTCTGGTGTGACGAAACTGAGGCACATGTAATGTGTGGGTTAGCGTGAAGTTAGGGGGTCAAAATCTAGGACGTGGATTACCTATACAAATCAATGAGAACTGGACTTGGTAAGGTCACATCGGAACCAAATCACGATTAAATTAGGGGGTTTAAGCTTTGGCATGCAACAAAATTCCAGTGCAAGCATTGGATGCTGTCTTCTTGTTTCCAAAATTATATATCTTGTTCATATATTCATTATCCTAACATTAAACTTCCTCATTGTCATAAATAAATGGCAATGGAATAGGAGTGGCGAGTATATAATCGTGCTGGTAGTTAAAGACGAAACAGTAGGAGCTACGCGAATATACATGTAACTAGTTTTCAGAAGGCCATCATTGTACACATATTTTGTAGAATTTTGTTCCGTTACTTTGTTCACTTTTATTTTCATTCATCGCAGTCCTTTTTTACATTCAACATAGAGTCGGATAATAAACGCTCATTTCTACCTTTTTCGGCTCACTTATTCTTTAAAAAAAGTTATACCTAAAACAATCACCTCATTTACAAGGACAACAATCACATTTCAAAGTAATGAAAATTATAACTTGAAAAGTAACGAAAGAATTGACCAGTTACACTGGGTTAGATTTTCTTAATTTTATATTTTTTGTTCGAAACACGAAACAATGCTTAGCCTTTATACGTATGAGCCTATGTAACGAAAAAAATGGAAATTGTAACGGTATTTGAAGTTTGGGATTTTGGAACGCTTAATATTATATAAAGACGAACATCCAGCAACGCTAATATTCAATCAAGCCAACAACATACAGAGTACACAATCCTCTAACTTTCATCATAATTTACAATGCAAAACATAAAAATACTTCATTTATTAATATTCTACCCAGTATATGCATTTATTACAAGCCAAGATATGAAAACAAAAACCCGTACTATGATAGCGATACTGTTTGACAAAACTGATGCCACGCTAAAGCACGGATACATTTTGCCTTCGAAAACTAAATCTTCACACTCGCCGTTGTAAGTACAGTTTCCCTTTTCAATTATCAGCGGTCGTTATTCTATGGACATATTTTTATAATGGTCAGTGAAATTGTAGCAGCAGATCAGATCCGTGCCATTTGCGCTAGGCGTGGGCGGGGCGGCAGTGCTGCTGATATCGGGTTCTGAGGCGTTATAGGCCAGGAAGTGCACCTTCCACTGGCCCTTGCAGCTGCTGGATATGGCGTCATAGGTGGCCCTGTCAACGCCAATACCTGTCAGGTTCACCGCAACTGGGTTATCTGGGGAAAAGATAATAAGCCTAAAATGTCACTTTACTCTAAAGTAATATACAGTAAAACAGGTTCTCATGTTTTTTCCATTTTAATAAATTTCTCATTTGTTTTTATCCATGTATTCCTCTTTTTTTTT